ACATTTCAACTTTATTCTCGAGGAAGGACATTAGGGAAAGGACAGACATTTTTCTTATTTTCTTTCTTTCTTTCTTTATCGTGGCGTTAGGTACATATTGTTATGTAAAAAACAAAAGTCTGTATAAATTGGTCAAAGTTCAAGGTTTCATGCTTGTCGGGCAAGCGCTGGGAAGACAGATGAATGGACCTGACCCTAAGCCAATGTAGAACAGAGGAAATTAATCATAGTAGCTGGGATGCAGCCAACATAAAACCAGGCCATCGTAAATAAATGAGAGCTGGTGGCACATCTGCAGTAAGATGCCCAGGAAGGAGTTTCCCCTCTCTATAAGTCCCCAAGTGTGGGAGCCTCTGGAGATCTGAATTAGTTTTGGTGTGTGTGTAGTGAATGAGCAAACTGTCTCTGTGTAAAGACTGTCATGTCCGAAGGCTTGTTCTCTCCTCTACATGTGAAATAAATGATCTTCCATACATAACTCAGAGGGGAATGTTACAGTCAGTGACAAATGGTTGTATAAATCTTTTGTTATTTTCTCCACAAAAATCCCGTCCTGAATATCGCCAGCCTCAAGATGACTTGTGTCACCTTGGCCTATAAAAGATGGGGGTGTGGATTATTATCTCTGTCTCTCTGTCCATCTTTGAAGCATATATGTTGTGTTTCCTCTCCTCTGGATAAAAATATCTCCTTCCCTTCATCTTTCCATCCTTTTTGTAGGCCACCAACAGGAGTTGGTCAGTAGTCAGTCCCTCCCAGGGGTGACATTTTGATTTCAAAAGTCTTTCACATACCCGAGGTGGAACAAAACACGATCCATGTTTAATCACAATTTCATTAATGTCTCCGTTGTAACTGAGAGACACTACTGCTGCTCTGTCAATGTATTAACATATATAATACCCTACATAATACCCTACTGACTATAATACACATGTAGCCCCTCCCCTCTTTTTCTAATAACATGCTAAAATTGTTAAAAAATAGTAACAGTGATATATTTCATAGCTGTGACATATTCTGTAGATATAGACATTGAAACTATGATGAAAGGTGTCAGCTATGTGATCCCATTCATCCACCCATCCATTGGTTATCTATACCATTAATCCTTTTGAGGGTTGTGGGGGAGCTGAAGCAATTATATGACCTCATGAAAGATATGATTATATTATGTTAATAAGTTAACAGAGGTTCACAGGGCAATAAACCCATAGGCAGTTTTAATGCTCTCTCTCTCTCGCTTGCCTGCGGCGAACAAGGGTAAACAAAATCCACATGATTGAAAAATGAAATCAAACATTCTATTATTGATAGCAATTATCAAAGGTCAACTCAGTATAGAAAGTATCATAGCAGTTTGCAAAGCAGCCATCACATACAGGTAGATGTCGGTGAACTGGACCAAGGCTTTACCAGGTTTTTTAAAAGGAAGGCAAGCGACAAAAAAAGAACCTCTTAGAGTCCTGTACAATTATTGTTAGTGAATTTGGAATTAATCAGTTGGACTGACTGGACCAGCTTCATTTGTTTAATTTTTTTCTTTTTGTCAGTGACAGTTTGTTTCGTCAGTATCTTGTTAGTTTTCCAACATTTTTCCGAGTGATATTCTTCATGTTTTTTTTACCAACTTAAAATTTTTGACCTTGCTTTCAGCTGGCAGACCTTTTGGATTGTAGTGCCGACCTGTTCACCTACTCGTAAGTCAAGGTACACATTTGAAATCTGCATTTGGGTCCTCATCCGTTCCAGTACATAACAAAATGATGCTGCTGGCCACTCTCAGTTTTGGTGTCCATATACTACAAAAATAGAGCATTTGTCACACTTGCAAAACTGGACCATAATCTTGCACATGGCTGCTACTAACATCTGGTTATTTGCGCGCCTCAATTCACTGTTAGTCTATGAATAAGTAACTACGTTGATGTCATTATGGAGCCTAGTTCAACCTTTTCTGAGGCATGTTTTTTTGCAGCCTCCTTTATCTCAGATTTTCAGTGCATAGGTTTGATGAAATTAGGGTTTCTTGACATTAAACAGTCCAAGAAAGAAAAAGTAAGGACAAGCAAGGTGGTTTGAGAGAAAGCACCTTTTGCAGAGACAGGGATCAACCAGAGCATTGGCCAGTGGGAGATGTGCAGGGTTTCCTGGTGGAACTTGACCTCATAACCATAGGCATACAGGAGCAGCCTTCATTAGCGATCTTTTTATAGCATCTCAATCCTATTACCTCACTACTCTTCCATGGCTACAATCTCCATGGCGTCAAGTTTGGAATATGTTAGCAGCACGTATTTTAACAAGAGGTGAACTTAAAGGTACAGTGTGTATAATTTTGTGAAATCTAGTGTTAAAATTGCATGTGGCAGCCTCCCCCTCACCTCACCCTCTCCTTCCAAAAGTGAAAAAGAAACTGTAGAAGCCTTTAGTTGTCATAAAAACTCAAAAGGTTTTTGGTTTGCCCAGTCTGGACTAATGTAAAAAACATGGCGGCCTCCGTAGAGAGGGTCCCCTCGATGTAAATATAAAGTACTTAAATATAAAGGGTTGTTTCTGGGGTAAAGAAAATTACAATTAATCCAATTTAGATTAAACAAACTAGTGAAAATTAAATTAAATATCTGCCAATAGATCCCTTTCACCTAAATCTTACACACTGGACCTGTAAATCGGTTGTTCTTGCAAATGCAGAGTACTATCTACTTTGTGTGATTATTTTTTCCTTCCTTCAATGATAATAATTTTCCATTCTTGACAAGGCTGCTCTCTTGTGTCTTGTGTTGCCCTCGTCATTTCCACCCGCTCCACCCTCCCTCTCTGGTTGCAGCACTCTGCTCTTGAAGTGTTTGATTCAAATAGATTTCCACCAGAGCAGGAGGAGAGGAGCGCAGAGGGAAGAAAAACACATGGGTCATTATTCATGTCTGCCGTAACGCTATGGAAACAGTGTCCTCCTTCTCTGATTGGTCATAGATAAGGTTGCCTCTTTAGCCATCACTTTTACTCCTGGGAGTGGACTTCAACTTATTAGGCCATTGTCAAGGCCCACGCTTACAGACACCTCCTATTGCCCTATTTCTCCCTCAGTTCCTTCATTTCCTCTGGGCAATTCCTAGGGAAACCCTGCATCATGTGCTCTGATTGTTTAAACAAATGACTATGTGTTTAACCAGTAGATCCATGATCAAATGAACTCACACTGATATAATTAATTTCATTCTGATCTTTTTTTGTGTCACATGGGTGTCTTATGAATGTTTAGTGTGTGGTTTAAGGCTCAGCTGCACTCAGTTTTAGAAGCAAGTATTTATTCAAACTGTTCTATGATTTCTTCCCGCATATAACATCCAAGCCTCATTTGTGTGGGCCGTTCCCAAACATGCTGTGTTCCAGCTACAGCCTCCTACTCATCCTCTAAATTGTGCTGTTTGGTAGTGTGTCAGGATTGTTTGGATTCATTCGGGGTGAATATAACAAGTGCTAACCGTTTGTTTATGAAGTAAGCACTACTCCACTGTAATGTATGGCCCTGAAGTCCCAATCAGAATTCTGCAACATCTTCTACAAGTCGGGTCGCTGTTGTACTAGACTAAGCAGAGTGCTCCTTTCCTTGATTTCCAGCTCTTCTTGGGGGATCCCAAGGCGTTCCCAGGCCAGATGGGACATACAATCTCTTCAGAGAGCTCTAGGTCTACCCCGGGGCTCCCTATAGATGGGTGTGCCTAGAAATTCTCCAATGGAAGGTGCCCAGGAGGCATCGTATTCAAATGTCCAAATCGGCTCCATTGGACATGAAAGAGCAGCAGCTATACTCAGAGTGCTCACTGGATGGCTAAGCCTAGCCCCCATTTAGAAAAAGCTTATTTTCAGCTTCTGTTTCCACTTCTGTTATATTCTTTCAGTCACTACCCAAAGTTCTTGACTATAGGTGAGAATCAGACCGTAGATCACCTGTTAAATTGAAAGGTTTGACTTCTGGCTCAGCTGCTTCTTAACCACAATGGTCCAGTACAACCCCTACAATACTGATGACAACAAACCATTCCACCTGTCCATCTTCCCCTCACTCGCCCAAAAAACTGAGTTACTTGAACTGCTTCATATCTGCCAATATATATAATATTCACCTAACATCAGCTACATTGGCAGAATCAGATATTTCCCACTTATGTAAGTATTGTCATTGTGAGCAGGATAAGCACGACAATAACTGTTGCTGTGAAAATGTCATATGCAGACATCCTGACTCCAATCGGGTAAAGATCTCTTATAAGTGTGATGAGGTTTTTCTTTTTTTCTAATAAATAGATTTTATTTTGTGAGCTATTTGAATGTTTGCTTATTGGTTGCAAACATTATTCTTCATTGAAGCACGCTCACTCATGTGGATAAGCCCGATAAGTGAGTCATGAATAAATAAGTGCTCAAAGTCAATCCAATCCATTAGCGCTCAGCCAATCACACACTTTGTGGGGCATTTATCAAGGTTTTGTTTTGACTGAAAGGTCATTGGAATTCAATTACTCTGCAGTTTCTTGCTGTAATCAAAACGCTTATGAATACACTGTATTTGTATATGTTTTATTTTCTATATTTTTAATTTTCTGATTTAGTTAAGAAATGTATGCTTAAGTTCAAATCTGATGTTTGATATTAAACTCATTTGTCTTTCAGATCCTGGCCATCATCTCCATCCTCTTCATTGTGCTATCAACCATTGCCTTGTCTCTGAACACCCTTCCAGAGCTGCAGGACACAGACGAGTTTGGCCAGTCCACAGACAACCCACAACTGGCCCATGTGGAAGCTGTGTGTATTGCCTGGTTTACCATGGAGTACCTGCTTCGCTTCCTCTCCTCCCCTAACAAGTGGAAGTTCTTTAAGGGTCCCCTAAATGTCATTGACCTTCTGGCAATCCTGCCATACTATGTCACCATTTTTCTAACAGAATCCAACAAGAGTGTGCTTCAATTTCAGAACGTCCGCCGCGTGGTCCAGATTTTTCGGATCATGCGTATCCTTCGTATTCTGAAACTGGCGCGTCACTCCACAGGCCTTCAGTCACTGGGCTTTACCCTGAGGAGGAGTTACAATGAGCTGGGCCTGCTTATCCTCTTCCTTGCAATGGGTATCATGATCTTCTCCAGTTTGGTGTTTTTTGCTGAAAAGGATGAAGAGGATACAAAGTTTAAGAGCATTCCAGCTTCTTTCTGGTGGGCTACTATTACTATGACCACAGTAGGCTATGGAGATATATACCCCAAAACTCTCCTGGGAAAGATTGTGGGGGGGTTGTGCTGCATAGCTGGAGTGCTGGTGATTGCCCTGCCCATTCCCATTATTGTAAATAACTTCTCTGAATTCTATAAGGAGCAAAAGAGGCAGGAAAAAGCACTCAAACGGAGAGAAGCCCTCGATAGGGCAAAGAGAAATGGCAGCATTGTCTCCATGAACTTAAAAGAGGCATTTGCTCGTAGTGCCGAACTGATGGATGTGGTTGTAGAGAAAAGTGAGAGGCCTCATGACAACCATCTCTCTCCAAGTCGCTGGAAATGGACGGCTAAGAGGGCTACATCAGAGACAAGCTCAAACCGTTCCTTCAACGCCCAGGAGTTAGGTTCTCCCAGCAAGGCCCGAGCAAACAGTCCCCAAAGGCTAAATGTGCAGAAGCTAGAGGAGATGTACAACCAGATGGCAAAGACACAGTCACAACCCAACCTAAATGCCAAAGACAGAGGCACTAGAGTCAGCAAACAGAGAGATGAGATAGAGCTGGGGGCCATACAAGATCACGGGCCACCAGTGTTAGGAACCAGAGAGGGAGTAGGGGACATGAAAAGCTTGTCTAGCATTGACAGCTACATCAGTTGTGCAACAGACTTCCAGGAGAATACACGTTTCCTCCAAAGTCCAGCAATGGACCTTGGCCTTCAGGAAGGTAACCGACTCTCCCACAGTCCGGCAACAGCGTTGTCCCAGCGTGCCAGTGCGAGAACAGGTCAGCAGACCACTAGGGAGTGTCAGCCCATGCTGACTCCTGTGTCTGTCACAAAGCCCTCATACTCAGATAATGCAAGGAAATTCTTCTTTTCTGGAAACTCCACGAAAAGTCTTATACCTAAGGGGGGCTGCCGCAGTGATGGGGAGTCAGGCCTGTCCCCCCTCTCAGACAGCTCAGTCCTTTCAGACCACTCTCTGTTAAGTCCTGAAGTTTCTATCTACACCACTGCCAGCAGCAGGACCCCACCGAAGTCCCCAGAGAGCACTGCCCTGGCTCCAACTGTCTTCACCTTCCACGACTCCTCCATCAGCAAGTACATTGACGCCGACACAGATGATGACGAGCACCTGCGCGACATCTCTGATGCAAGTCCCTCAGAATGTCTGTTGGCAGGAAACAGCCCAAAACGCAGCATCAACATCAATTACCAGAGGGGCACCAACCATTTAGAGGCAGCCCAGAAAATGCTGGGCCAAAATTGCTTGTTCCCCCTTGAAGGGATTCGTGGGGTAGCTCATGAGAATCATGTAGGACATGAAATGGCACATAGACCAAAGGTTGAGAGAGGGCGTCAAAATACTTTGGATAAAAGCCTCTGAGGTAAAAGTGGAACAGAAACAAATGGGAAGCCCGGGCCAGAGTGTTTGTGATAAACACGGTAGACAACGGAAAGAGAAGAAAAAGGGTCTCACTGAAACATTTCACGAATTACCTTAGCATGCTGCTGGGCAATGAGCTCCAAGTGAACATGTGTGGTGAATACTCTGGGAGAATAAACATTTCTAAATTGGAGAATGTCACTGCCCATCCTTCAGCTCATTCCTCTTAGCGGTATTCCACACCCACAATACAAAGAAGCACTCCTGGGTAGCCAACAGGCCTGGTCAGAGATCCCTGTGGAATCAAGGGTAGTCAGAGAAATCTAGTTTTGTGGTTGATACTGGTGTAACCCAATTGAATGATGTGGTTTTAGCTGCAGGGGTTTATCTCTATATATTCTCTAGGAAAAACAATCCCAGCTGCCGACTGTCCCGTTACAGAGTCCAAGTTTATTCTGTAGTCTTACAGATAGAGATACAGAAGAGGACCTAGAAGCCTATAAGCTACTTACTTGTGCCCTCTCTTCCCAAACCTGGCCTTAGTCATTAACATTTGTAGGGGTGTGTATGTGTGTGCATGTGTATGAGTGTGAAGGCTGATGGGTGATGTAATGCAAATTCATGTATCCACACTCTTGAGATTGTCTTATCTGATTTATTTTTATATACAGTAGATAAGAGAGAGGTCCTTATTGAAATATGTGATTTGCTAGTCTGCTGTGTCAAAATCATCTATAAGGTTCAATGTCTGCAGTTATCAGAGGCTTCAACTCATCCATTATCTTGAGTACTCGGTCTTGAACAGTATTTTGCTGTCCCCAATGTTATCATGCCATAGTAAGATTGGATGATACTTTCAAATCTCCATTGGTGAACATTGTTCTTTGCACCCTGTTATAATTATTAAGGACGATAGTGGTGGACCAAGATTTTTTGATATAAAAATAAGAGTCAGAGATTATAATCTTGATTGCAGCATCAAGCGGACATTTATGGAGCATGCATGCAGCCAATCAGTCAACGTACAAAAACATAATATGTGGGAAGAATTATTTATGTTTTTTATTTAAAGCTTATTGACATGTTTAGGTTTGTGTAACAGATGTTCAGCATGCATTGGCCTTCCAAGAGAGCAGGGTTCAAAATAAAGTCACTGAATATACACAAGCAGGTTAACTTTCATATGTATCAGCTGTAATGCCTGAACTGAGGAAACTCATGCATGAGCACAAACTCACACCCACAGCAGAACCATGCAGTTACAGAAGTCGATATTCAGAATACATAGATACATTTAGTTTCCATAGCGAGTGCAGCAGCCCTCAAAGGCTGGCAGCAGTTTGTTTATTGGACATGAAATGGTTTGATTGCATGTAACATATATTCACACGTACATATATAGCCTACACACACAGACGTGCATAACCTGAACATGTAGTAACATGTTAACCGAGTCACTACTCACTGTACACATTCATGAGTGTAAATGCAACATTATGACGCGAGGATCTTGTACTTTTAATGCTTGTCTTAAATCTTCGTAGCATCCCATAAATAACTATAATACCACGCAATATAAATTAGTTTTAGATTCTTGACAGTTAGAAACCCACAATGCATTTCTCTTTTATATGGTCACATAACAAAGAAAAACAATCTTCTATAACATGTGACTGTCACTCGCTGCAGTTTAAATTAAAGATTGACCAAGGGAGGAAAGTGTGTAATCTCCAAATGAAGAGTATATATTATCACAGAAATGAAGACGTTCTTTTTTTCGCAGAAAGGCGCCACAGGAACATGAAATAAAAATATGACATAAAAACACAAAGACAAATCAAGACATTTAATATGCTGATACTATCTTGAGAATTGAAATTAAATAATAGCTACTATTTGCTTTTACATCTAATACGATCATGCCAACATGAGCATAGTTACAACCAAAGTGAATTTTAAGAATCTCAAGAAGAATATATTGCCTTTAATCACAGTTTCTCTGATGTTGACGAGCTGAATGGAGAACAACCTCACTGCCAACTGAACAGATCCTCAAACAAAACTGAGCAAACAGTGAAATCTCTCTCAGCCACTTCCTGACGCAAATTCAAGACAGTTGGAGATAGCACTGAAGAAGCCATTGCACTTTTATACATGTAGGTGTCAGGTGATATTTGTTCAGAAAGTCAACAGGAAGTGGTTGACATTCTTTTTGTGTTAAAAGTCTAATCACAAACCCTGATTTCATTTCCTGTTTTAATCAGAGTTGAACCAATTCATATTGCTCAACATAGTGAGAGGAGCTGGGGTGTGAAAGGAATAGCAATGACTGCGAGAGGCAAAGGGAACCGTGTGTGTGTGTGTGTGTGTGTGTGTGTGTGTATGTGTGTGTGTGTGTGTATGTGTGAGGCTTCCGTAACTACACTTGTGTGGCTGCCACTTAATGGAGAAGAATAAGAAGAATGTGTTTCTGATATGAATGCATGCATGTCAGGAGAATCCTGCTTTTGTGTTCTTCATGTGCAGATTTGACTGTAACATGCAGCAGCAACCAATTTTATTACCAAGAGAACTGTAATCATATGAGAAATTAAGATTAATTTGACACATGAATCTATTAATTTACAGCTGTGAGCAGAGGGATGGGAGGTGCATCACATGAATCTTAGTTAGCAACCAATCACATTCTTGAATAACTTAGGGTGGATGGTTTGAACAATCTATTATATGCAGCATCATAGTGTCAGCTTTTCTTTGTATTCTGGTGAAATTACAAAGTATTGAACACAAAATAAAGTCAGCAGTGAGAAGCCAAGTCATCCCCCCCCAAAGAAAATAACCATCATCCTCAAAAAAGATTTTAACAATTGACTGCAGATATTTAACATTTTCCAGATGATGACATTCAGATTGGATCATATTCATAGTCTCCCTCAAAAAACCTTGAAGTGAATGGCTTGTAGTTCTGGTTATATGTATTTAAGAAGGTACTTTCCTCAATAAATATGTATAATTCTTCATATTACATTGTGAGGTTGGAGAGGCATGGTTTTTCTTTGAAGACAGCATCAGACTCAAGCAGAGGAACAATTGAGGCATAGGTTAGTTTCCGATGAACATTTTATTGCACATTAATGTTTTAGCTCGTGAAAAGTCAAGGCCAATGTATGCGAAACATTTCAAATCTGTTACATTGAAACGATTTAGGTGATTTAGATGTTGAAACAAATTTCAGTCAGACATGTCATTAACTCTAATGGAAACAACATTGAGATCACATATCCCGTCCTGAAGGATCATGTGAGCTTCTGTCCCATATTTGGGGTTTTCTATGTTACGGTAGTCAGGGACCAAGTAGCTCTCAAAAATGATGACAATCAATAGTTCATGAATAGGCAGCATGCACTACTGTCAAGACTAATTTATGTGTCTAAGAGATTAATTACGGGCAAATGTGCATCGTGCGCAGACATACACACAAGTATTGAAATCCTGACACTAGTATTGATACTCCTAAGCTTTTAGTATGAGAAATCATTGCGCATGACATTGTAATTTGATACCAGACTGTGATACTGTGACATGATACCACCATTATACAAAGCAAAGTAATTATTTTTACAAGTCATTCTTTTTTTCATTTATTTGGGCACACACTTTACTCTCCTCCATTTCCAAGGGAGCCATTCAAATTTACAAAATCTAGTTGTGTAAAAGAGGTTTTAATTTTACTGCGATCCCTGTGGAGGAATTCTGACACGAATCAACGGACTAAACCATCATGTTTTATGAAGAAACACAATCAAGTGACTGGTTTTATTTCTCGTTTGTTGATACAAACGAAGATGAAGAGCACAGATTCTCAACACTTTCCATTACAAGACTCCCAACTGTATAGTAAATGCATTTAGCAGAATGCTAAAATAGAATTTGGTTGTTGCGCTAGCTGCTTTAAATGTGAAGAGTTTCAAGTCTTTTTCATTTTTGTTAGAACCCCATAGGGCCCTTTTCAGGGACACGTGGTCATTTCCAAAACCCAGTGAGATCCACTGCTTTAGCAAGTAGCCTAAGTCCACACACTCTGAATCAAACACTGTATTACAGGGTTGGGGTCGATTCAAGATGCCTTGATTATGTAAAAAAACACACAGTACACAAGACACTATAACAGGAACCAGTATTACAGCATGAGACAAATTAAACCTGGTACAAGTCAAAAACGTAAACTATATTTTTTCTACATTTTAAGCTCTCAGTGGAATTGACCCCAACCTTGCCTAAGCCATCAGTCTTTGTAAAGTACACTGTTTCCAGGGAATTGAAAAAAGATATTTGAATGACCTTAGTCAGCTCTTATACAATGTTGTTTGTAGGTCCCGAGGCTGTCTGTTTTGTAAAACAAAAAAAGAGAACATTTTTACCTGTTGACTTTCTATGCTGTTGTTTCTGTATAAATGTTCTACTGTTCAGTGCATGTTGTAACTTTGGCGTTGTGACTGGTTGTGATTCACTCAGAGCCAGAGCCTTGTCTTGTAAAAGAAAAAAAACATGTCTCAATGTCCCAAGATATTTCTATTTCTTAAGAAAGACGCAACGTTTCCCTTTGATGACTCAAGACTAAATAAATCAGATCACTTTACATTTTGATTAGGAATTGTTGACTTTCATTTTACTGTTTTTGAACTGCAAACCAAAGTAGACAGGAACATGCATCATTAAAGCTTCAGTGTGTCGAATTTAGGGACATCTAGTGGTGAAGTTGTGTGTTGCAGCTGAACACCCCTCACCTCACCCTCTCCTTCCAAACATGAAAGAGAACCTGGGGTAGCTTCAGTTGTCATGAAAAAATTCAAAAGATGTTTAGTTTGTTGTGTTTGAACAACTGTAAATAACATGCGGCCTCCGTAGAGAGGACCCGCTCTTGATGTAAATATAAAGTATTTAAATATAAAGGCCCCATTCTAGGCTAAAGAAAACAACAATTTGTACAATTTAGATGAAACACTGTGGAGTTGTGTGTAAAATATTTGCTGTATTCTCACAGACTGTATGTGGTCATCTGACTGAAAAGGAAGCACGCTTTACTAGAGATTTGTAATCATGCTGGCAGACTGTGTCTAAGTGGATATCTACAGAGGGATGGGGGGGGGGGGGGGGGGGGGGCATTAGAGGGAAGGAGGCAATCAGATGAAGAGGAAGCTGTGGACTGTTGGGCAGGAGCAGGCCTCCAACCTGCCCACACGTCTCCACACTCCCTTGCATCGAGGGTTTCCCACCGCCTGCCACTGGAGAGACTGTCTCCTGCAGGGAGAAGAGCGGGAGGAGGAATTCAGAAGTCCCCTTAAAATCCAAGAGATAAACAATGTTGCCCTCTAGTGGTGGTTCTAACTGTTAGTCATCAGATCTGTGATATATGGTGCAGAATAGATCAGTGGTATTGATGGGATGAAAAAAGCATCTGATCTGACACACTCCATACACCACTGCAGAGAATCTGAGAATACACACAGGTAGGTATAGTGTCAGACACATGTGTTCAATGTGCCCCACTTTTCAGACGCCAGGGGCAAGGTCTTAACGGTCAGAGCATAACTCCTTTTTTTTTTAATAATTAACACATTGCAACCATTAAGTAAGATACAACCATGTTTTTTATGCCAACAATCAAATTACACACAATAATATAAGTGTTATCTTGTGCCTTTTTGCATTGGCCTTGTTTGGTAAATGTGGTTGGAAGGATTATTCTAATCCTAATTAAAATGTATAATTAGGAATATCCCTAAAAGAACAGTTTGACATTTTGTGTCACTTTTGCTTTTTTTTTGCCAAGAGCAGAGCGATAAGTCTGCGTATAAAGCTACAACCAGCAGCCGGTAAGTTTAGCATGAAGAGTACACAGTACAGCGAGCCTGGCTTCAAGGTATAAATTATAAATCACTTTGCTGAGTGGAGCCATCATGTTGAATTCACTCCAAACACTTTGAAATTTCTATATGCTGCTTTTAGCTGGTAATTGCATAATACTTATTGTCACTGCTCCATATAGGGTGAAACTTCATTTTATTAGTGTTATGAAGCGTTATGTTGTTTCTTCACATACAGTGGGATCCAAAGATTCCCATTCCAGTGAGTAGGACAGTGGTTTCATAAGCCAAATGAACTTCAAGCTAATTTCATGCATGAATAAACTCTCAGCTGAGCATAAAACCAAATACATTATCTGTTGTGCTCATTAATGTTTCCTGAACAACACGAGTTTACATTTTGAGGCAGATTTTAAAACAAGCAGTGACTTGTTCATCCATCCATCCATTCTCTAAACAGCTTATGCTTTGAGGGCTGTGGGGGGGTGTAGCCAATCGGCAGAGCGAGAGGCGGGGTACACTCCCAGGACAAGTCGCCAGTGTATCACATGAACTATGGGAGTACCAAGTGAAAACCCACACAGACACGGAGAACATGCAAACTCCACACACCAGCACAACAACCAGCCAGCGGCTATGAACCCAGAACCTTCTCGCTGTGAGGCAGCTCTACTGTGTCAGAACAGTGATGTCACAATGGTGCTATATTGATAGAAAACTTTCTTGATGCCACATCATTATGAATCATGTTCTCCATTCTTTACATTCTTACCTGTCGTCTGTGTTTTCCTCACCGTCTCCAGCACAGTGTTGCTGCCCATTAGCGAGAGCAGGCGGCTGGCACCTCACACACACATGGTGGCCCTGCCTCAGGTACTGCATCCACTGGGTGTGTGGGCCCAGACTCTCCTGGCACCCTTTTGTCAGAGAGGTCAACTGAAACTGGACACAATACCTATTTTAAACACACACGTACACGCACACATACACACACATACACACACATACACACACAAAGCTAAATACATATGAGAGAAAATATCAGAAATAAATAGACTGTAATTTCACATTTCACTGATCCTAGAGAAGGTTTTACCCGATAATGTCGCCGCTGTCGAGGATGTCTCTTTTCTTCCTCGTGTTGCCATAGCCACTTGTGGTTATAAGAGCTGGAACTGCAGAGGGAGCATCCATCATGAGACCATTACATGAAAACATATGTTGCAAGATGGGTCTCATACATTTAAAATGAAATGTACATGTTTTGGTTAAATGCACATAAAAATAGGATTCTAGAAATGTTTCATATTTGCATGACAGAAGCTGGAAATCTGCACTTGGGATTTAGCATCTTATTGAGTTTTATGATCCATTTTCATTCAATGATAAGTAACGACAGATGTGGGATTATCATAACTTAATATTCATTAAGTCTACATTTCTACAATCTAACACTCTGTGACAACAAAGCAGAAATAGAAAAGTTTATCCGTGATCACTGAATATTTTCCTTGAAAGGACCAAAACTTAAATGAGTCATATGTATAATAACATTTCTTCTAATCTCCTAATCAGTTATTTACATGTGGATAGTGAAGTGATAATCAAATGTCTAACCTGACAGTTTTATCAGTTGGCGTCTTTCACAGACATATCTGTGTTTATTTTTATCTTTATGTACCAACATTAAAAATGTTACTTTACAGAATAAACAGTGCAGAAAAAATCCTAATTTATATTTGTCAGTTTGTGTTTTCTTTATATTTATAGTTATGATAAAGTTGGTTTATGGTTTATCAGTTAAATATCTATAGCTTCAGTCAAATTTCTTTGTCAAAAGGATTTGATAATGATATCTTATGAGTACGGTTTAGAAAATGTTATAAAAGAATCCAGCTGGATATTTTCTCACCCAGTGAGCTGTGACAGTTCCCGTGATTTGACCAGTACTCTGCACAGCCAGCGTGTTCCTCCAGATGGGGACAGGGTTTCCCTGCATTGAGCGGCTCCTGCACGATGACCCTGCTCCGCCTGCGAACTGTGGCCCTGCACGGCTCAGCACAGCCGGACCACTCCGTCCACTCACTCACCATGCAGGACACCGCTGAGAGAAAAGAGACCGAGCACAAACACCAGAGGATAAACTTACAGTAATATTATTGACTATTAGTTTTCATTACATATATTGATCAAGACAAATCTGAATATTGTCACTTAGAATGTGGGTCCAATAACCTGTTTGATTGTTTCATCTGAAGAATCAGATATTATTTATTTATTTCAGCTAATACAGCTCTCAGTAGAGATCAAGTCTCTGGACTCATAGTATATTACAGTACTAGATCACTAAGGATGTATTCATCCAGTTCATTTAGGGATCATCTATAATTCCTTGTTTTCAATAGCTTCCATCTCATGTGACTCACTGACTCCAAATCATATCAGATGTTATTGCTGCCATAGGCAAATAGAACACACCTCCAGACTGACTCTTAACTAAAAGTCACATGGACGCTATTTAAAAAAATACGATTATTAAAAATATGTGAAGCACGAAAATCCAATCAAAACCAGAGCGTCTTGTTTATCTAGAATAATAATATGAGATAGGCATTGGTCTGAAGTCAGTGGGCCATATGACATGGAAGCTACTGAAAAAATATAAATTATAAATAGCCCTAAAATCTGTTTGTCTGTTGAAAAGCTGTTTTAATGTATTAATGTATATAATGTAAAAACATTATATACATTAATATATATTAGAAGAATTAAAATTCAATGAGAAGACATTTGTTGTGTTCTGGAGCCGGTGGATCACACGAGATGGAAGTTTTTGAAAGAGTATGATTTTTTAAATATGAATATTCATATATAATATTAAAAAACACTGACATGTGTAAACAATAAAAGATAATGTCTGATATGATTTGGTGAATTTCCTTTAAAACTAATTCAACCCACGTGTTTTACCAACTATTTCAAATCAGTGTGTTGGAATTGTGATTTGTTAGTTTGTAATTGTCCGTGTTTTGTCCACTATATAGAAGTTCCTGAGATATTTACCCGGACAGGCGGCCTCATAGTCGTGGCAGCAGTCCCGGGTGGAGACGCAGGCCTGGTCGCAGTAGCAGGGGCCGTAGGAGCGGTCAGACCTCCAGCCCTCACTGGTGCAGGACGGGTCGCGGCCGGAGCAGCACAGGCCCGCGGCCCGGCAGTCCGCCCGGCCCGGAGCGGCATGGAACACAAACACACCGAGACAAAGCAACGTGACGGAGCCGCTGCTCCTCAGACCTGAACCTGGCATCACGACCCCGGCTGCTGCAGTCACAGCCCCACTGAGCCTCTCAGTCTGAGGTGACCCCCCCCCTGCAGAGTGTCAGAGATGCTGATCTGTGGTCAGTCAGGTCAGCAGCACTGAAACACACAGGGACTCAAACACTGATCAGTCAGATGGAAGTTATGCATGTGTCAACTCTGCATCTCTTAAAGGAACAGCTCCCCAAAGAGAGGACTCAAACAGGTGGTCCACCGAACTACAGTCATGTGGCTGTGTGAGGCCACCATAGGTAATTATTACTCATGACCAATATGAGATGGAAATCAATATATAAATGATTATATCAATAATTCCAACTCCATCACATGCACCAAAAATGTGGGACTGCACCACAAACACTCAGGTTTAACTTCATTTCACTCAATTTCTTCAAAACCATATTATGTGCAACCCCATGTTCATTGGATATATATTACAATATCTTTTGTCTTTGTATTGCACTTTTTAAAAAAACTATTTATTACTTTTACTATGAAGCACATTATTTTTAGTTTAACTTTTGGAGCTGTAACATGGTCTGTTTCCCCATAATGGGACTGTTAAAGGATGATCTTGTCTCATCTTGTTTTATTCTTATCTTAAACCCTTTCCACAGGAGTTCATAGTAAATTTGTAAACTCTGCATTGAAGCTTTGCTTATCTTGCATAAAAATGATGAAACTAAACCGGTAAGAAAATCTCTGCATTGTTATTTTTTTTTTAATATTTTGTTCTGCATTCAGAAGATATTAGGCCTCATCTTCTAAATACACTGTGTGGTTCTGGAGCCACAATGAAGATGAAATAAAACGATGACCAAAGCAGTGCAGAGTGAAAGAAACACAGAAAGATATACATAGGCCCACAAAGAGCTGTATTTTTGGAGAGGGCATTTTATTTTGGAGATTTTCAGGGGGAAAAGGTCTCTTGGAGTGAGTAGAAAAGAAAAAGAAAGTTCAAATGGAAAGGTCCAAAGTTCCTTGTTAGAGAGCGAGTGGTGTGTTTGCTCACGTCGCCTCCTTCCACAGTCTCTCTTCCCTGGCCTCAACATGTGAAAAGGCTGGATTAATGAAACTCCTATGGCTGAGCTTATTCATGCAAAAAGAAAAACAGTGGACAGTGTCGGCCTCCACTCACGCTCAGTTTCCCAGAATCGTACTAATGTGTGTGTAGAGAGGGAGGTTAGTGACAGGGCGAGTGGAGCTGAATGATTCATTTTACAGCTCAACGACTAGTCCCAGTTTACGTGCACGGAAATACACAGCAAAGGTATTAACCCATCAGTAGTGGTTCCCATTTACAGCTCCAGTAAACAGACAGTCAGAACAAACAAGGGTCCATGTAGACACCATGCACTTATTATACATTCCCCATCCTACAAAATCTTTGGTGCCAGAAAAACTTAATAAAATAATAATAGCCTGAATTTCTAATGCAGCTCTCACAACAGTTAGTTTTCCAATCAAGGAGGAGGAGGGGCAGTGCAGTTAGATTGGGTAGCGGTTCTAATGCAATTTAAACTAATTTAAGCCTGTTGTGTTCTTATCATAGGAAGTTATATAGATATAGGTTGTTTATCATGTCTCACAAGTTAAAGTGAGTTAATAAACCCAGTAGACATAAGACAGAAAGAGCTCAGGGTGGAACCGCTTCCCATTTAATTCAAAAAATGAATTTCTTACAGAGAAAGACACAGCTCCACTCGGGATCTGCACCATTTGATCAGATATCAAAATTTAAGGCCTTTGTTTGATGCAATCTTTGCTGCTGTTTTACAGACTCACAACGAGGCGTTTAAACCAACCTCATTCTTCCAGCATTGACCCAGTTGATACATGTTCTGTATCTTAAAGTCCATTTGTTCACATATCACCTTGTTGCACCCCAGGTTATGCTATAAGCTTTACATGACTGTTTTTGTGGATTTTTGGAACTACATGTCATATCATTGCTGCACTGAATAAAACGTATCTGAACTCACAACAAAGATGCACAGATCTGAAACTCATGACAAATGTCTCCTGAGGCATACTGTAAAAAAACACGGCTCATATATGCACCCGAGAGCAAACAAGGACGTCTGTGTTCACTTAGAAAACAGGAACGTGATACACAACAAGCAGTTCCTTCTTGGGACTTAACAATGCAGAGGTTTACAGTTCATATGCATAATCTCCTTATGTTCTCATTTAATATGATTCTGACTGCAGCAGGGAACTTGTACAGGACCTTATCCCTGAATGGTGTCCCTTCACTGAACACCAAATTTAATTCAACTTGAGCTCACAGCACAGATATGACCACGGGCCACCCTAATGCCCTTTTTTCAATGAAGAGTTTATAGGGTTGTATTTGAACTTTACTGGTGACATTTTTACACCAACTTTAATTTTACTTTTCTCATTTTGTAGCTAAAATACTAGTGGTAGCTGGTTTAAAAATTATTCTGATCAAACAATAACACCTGCATAAGCCACCATTCCTTTCTGATTTTACACAAACGGGGTACATAGAGGTATGAAGCCTGATTGGGGGGAATGATTTGAACTGGTACATATGAAATGTTCACGTGTCCAGTATGTTCGAGGTGTGAAAAGTTCCTTACAAAGACGCTCAAACTTCAAGAATCTGTGACTCACTGTAATTCCTGTGCAGTGACGGTGAATATGCATACATTCACAGCTTACAACAAAAGTGGTTTTATTTGGAGCTCAAGGTATTTCCTCTAATCCAGGGAGGAGAGTGTTTATATAAACCGAGGTTGGAGGGTTAGGGTCACAGGAGAGAAACACCAGCTTGGCTGTCTGCATCACACATCCTAACATTTGGAGGCAGGAGGACACAGGTGTGAAGCCTAATTCATTTTATACACATACATCTTGTTCTCAGGAGCATCAGATCAAAATGATTTTTCTAATGGACCTCCAGATGATGCTGCTGGATGTGATTTACTTCATCTTGCGTAACTCTGTGCGGGTCTTCCTTCGCCCACGCACCAAGCCTGTTGATGGTGAGCTGGTGCTGATCACTGGTGCAGGAGGAGGCCTGGGTCGTCTCTTCGCTCAGGAATTCACCAAGCATGGGGCAGAGGTGGTGCTGTGGGACATCAACAGCAGCTCCAATGAGCAGACAGCCAAGCTGGTGCATGAGATGGGGGGCAAGGCGCACACCTACACGGTGGATGTGACCAATAGGGAGAATGTGTACCGCAACGCAGAGCTCGTGAGGAAGGACCTGGGCCGAGATGTTACGATACTGGTGAACAACGCCGGAGTGGTGGCAGGGGAGCGCATGTTAGACTGTCCCGATGAACTGATTGAGAAGACCATGAAAGTCAACTGTCACGCCCTCTTCTGGGTGAGATCTCTCAAGTCAATGTGGCACTGACGTAGGGATGAAGTGATGCATGATGAAGAGAGGGCTTGAAAACTGATTTGAATATATCTTACAGTAATTATTGTCAAATTATTATATTTTTTTAGTCCATTATCTGTAGATTATCTGCAGTGTCTTGTTCATTATAACTGCAAAGGAAAATACAATCGGAAGTGACAGTAATACTAGACGTTTGTGCAGCTGGCAACATTTTATATTTTGTAATTTTGGTGAATCGGTTCTATAGAACATCAAAAAGTATGTGGCATTGTTAGTAAATGACTGTATAGCACCTTTACAGTTTTATCAACCATTTTAAGTGTACAAGTCACATTCACACAAGGCTTCTATACACAGCACTTTTTGTATCACACATACACTGTGAGCACAGCCATCAGGGGCACTTGAGGACTCTGCATCTTGCCCAAGGACACTTTATAATGCAGACAAGAGGAGCCAGGGATCGAACTACCGAACTTCTGTTCCACCTCCTGAGCCACAGCCACCCAGTAAAAACCATTATAGCCAGGGCTGGTATGGCTCATTGTCTCACTCCAGCACGGACAATAATTCAGCACCGATTCAAGTCAAGATATTTTCCATCATCAGCCAAACAAAGCAGGATAGTGTACAGTCTGACACATCACATGTCAAATATATAATGTTAATAGCTTTATCCCCTTCACCCTGTACGTGCTATAGGATTCCCATAGAAATCCTCTTAATATGAAGCTGCTCTTGCAACATAATCTTCCTTCACATTGAGCAATATTTAAGTCTCTGCAAGTAATGTGAACACTGTCGCCTCATACTGCAAAACAAACAAACGTCTGTGTGTGTGTGTGTGTGTCTGTGTGTGTGTGTGTGTGTGTGTGTGTGTGTGTGTGTGTGTGTGTGTGTGTGTGTCTCAGACAGCGAAAGCCTTCCTCCCCCAGATGAAGGCCCAGAATCACGGTCACATCGTGACCATCGCCAGCGTCCTCGGCCTCTTCAGCACAGCTTGCGTTGAGGTGAACCGGTTTGGTGGGGAGAACAAATCCCTGCATCACTAAGATATGACTGATTTCCTGTGAAACTCTGTGACACATCTCTCTGAACAGGTTTACAACATGTAACTAAGTCATACGCACATCATGCAAACAGAAAGAAAAGTGTTGTGTTTGGTTTGTGACAGGATTACTGTGCCAGTAAGTTTGCTGCAGTGGGTTTTCATGAGTCTCTGGCCCATGAGCTTCTGGCAGAGGAGATTGAAGGAGTGAAGACTACACTTGTTTGTCCCTATATTGTGGAAACAGGCATGTTTGAAGGCTGCAAGATACGGTACGTCCACAAAATAATCATGTATGACAATTGTGCTTTACTTCAACCTGCCATTTTGCTTTTTGAATGGACTGACTAACAAACTAGGTTAAGTCAAGTAGGCTATTGTATCTGCCTGTAAACTCACCAACTCATACCAATATACCAACATATAACAGTAATTAAGCTTCGAATATTAGCAGAATGTTCACTATGCAAATGCATTGCCTCCAAGTGAAGAACGAGTAGTTGATACCGGCAAACTATGTTTAGATTTAGATGTGTTTGCTGTCAATAATCCCACACTGACTCATCAAAGTACTTTGGTGCTTTTAGGGAGGAGGTGGAACTGCTGCTCCCCCCTCTGGAGCCCCAGTACTGCGTTGAGCAGGCAATGAACGCCATCTTGATAGACCAACCACTGGTGTGCATCCCTCGCCTCACCTACCTCCCCTTCCTCTCTAGAGCGTAAGTGCAAAGCCACGGCTTCACATAAATACGTCTTCTTTGGAGAATTTCTCTAATCAGCCCATTGCACATGTTCTTTTTCAGGTTGTTGCCGTGGGAATCCAATGTTGTTGTGTATCGTTTCATGGGCTCCGACAAGTGCATGTACCCCTTCATCGATACCAAGAAACAGGCGTCTAATGGCTGCATTAAGGTTGCATAGTAACCTTCAGCCTTGAGATAAAATATCATTTAAAAGGGTTTATAGAGGTCTATGATATATAAGTTATAACCAGGATTCAATCACAACATGAGTAAAGTCAGAATTACTCTCAAACCGAAGTGACTTTAGATTTTGTACTAGATGACGACTCTGCCAGGTGGTCATCAGTACAACAAAACTATTTCTAAGACAAAGGTTAAAGTCCCTTCTTAACGGTGATTAAATCCTGATCAAAATGGGAACTGTCTTGAATATCTGTTATTAAATGATTATTGTGCTGTGTTACGTTTACATTAAATGATTAAAAACCACTGATACAAACACACACAATCACACCACAGCCAGTGGGTTGCGTGTTGCACTGTGTACTTTTTCAAACTGCACAAGATATGCAAATGACCAAAACACAGGGCACTGGGCGTGAACTGGAAAAAGAAAACATCCTTGGCCTGCTTGTGGATTATGCCTGTGTCAGTGCACATGTGCAGTGTGTTTACGAGACTGTGCTCACAAAATGTGGTTAATCTCGGAAGACAGCAGCGATCCAGTAAAACATAATCAGTGCCTAGAAATGCTCTCATGCGAAGGAAGGAGGTATGACTAATGAGTCATTCCCTGCAGCATCATGTTAAAATGTGCTGCTGTTTACAATTCCTCCTGTCAAGATAGTGATGTCCCTAAATTAGCTTTTTGAAAAATGAAATAAACATTTCTGGTCACAAGATTTATTATTTACATCTCTCTTAATTTTAGCTTCATACGAAAAGCAAATTACCGAATACTTCATTATGAAAACTAAGGTACTCAGTAGAGCACATACCTCCACCAAGGCCCATGCAACAGTCCCCTTTATTGCAATAAAGCTGCACCAAATTTCACACACATTTCAGTCCTCTTAACATGCCTGATTTGTTATCTTAAAGAGCCATGAATTATTCCCCTGGGAAAATGTGCGATAGATTTTCGCACAACAATGAAGAAAGAGAAGAAAAAAAATCCTGGATCCGCTCCCTGATCCGAATCCATTTAATCGGCTCTTACCTGACCCTCACCACATTCCTCCACCAAGTTTCATGGTTATCCGTCCAGCAGTTTTTTTTGGTACAAGTCCATAACTATAATTTACAAACAAACAAATGCAAATGAAAAGAGGTGTAAATAAATTTTAGTATATAGAATATCAGAACCAGGGTTCAAGATAAAATGTGAGCAGTGGTCAAGCCTGCAATAGTTCATCTTAGACTTTCTACAATATCAATTTACAATCGAATTTTACAATTCTTCATAATCACCCGGCCAGAGATATTTTCCTGATCCAGCCATTGGTAACTAAAGAAAAAGACAAGATAACTAAAGTGTTTGTTTTGTGCACATAAGCACGTAGGTTTAATTACCATGGGGAGCAGAGAGAGAAGGGAGGTTGACATGAGGGAGGAAACAGGAGAATCAGGAGAACTGATGCAACAGGGAAGACCTCCCTGGCACCCACATCAGGGACAACATCACATTACATCACACGCTACATTTAGTCACAAATTCTTCCCAGCCCTACATGGTAATGTCAATAACACTTCACTTGTGGTTGTTGATATAAAGCACTCTAGGAAATTCAACAGAGGTTCGCGAGCTGCATCCGAGACAGAGAAGAGGTCCAAACCTCATGTTAAATGAACCACTTCAGTGGGGGATAAAACATAAAACACTTAAAAACCAGAGTTAGCAGGTCTCACAGAGAGGAAACAAATTCTAGGCAAAACAAGAGTTCACAGTTAGTCGCTTCATTTACTCCCCACCGAGTAAACTTGACTAGGATGCAGCTAAAACTACAAAGCAAGAAAATAAATAATACGTCCAATTAAACAATGTCAAGGAGATGAAACTATATGCTTTCTATCAGTCTTGTTTAACTGTGAACTTTTTGGAACAATGATTATGAAAAGTGACGGTTTAGAGATTACGGAGCTGAATGCTTCTTGTAACCTTCTAAAACTGACAAAGAACACAGTGTCTGAGTTTTCTCTAGTGCTTTTACAGACAACCAAACCTGATCATTTAAACAGTGCCATCCAGGGTCTGTGCCAATGTGCTTGAGTTAGCCTGTTTGAGGTGCATGTCACCTTCCATTTCCTGCTTGCCACACCTGCGAAAAGATTTAGTGTCAGTGCCTTTCGATTTCGGACTGAGGTTGTATATAATTCAAGTATCAGTGCAATAAAAGGCTTAGAGTGAGCACATCTATAGGTAAGTGGAGAGAGAGTGTCTAACAGAGCTTACCCAGAGACTGGTCCATTTCCTGTTCTTTCATTTGACTGCTGGTCCAACTCTGCAAGCAACTTCAGTATATTCAGTGCAGCCTGTGGAGATGAGGAATCATTTAAGTTACAGTAGTGAGCGAGTCAGATGCTGCTCACTAGAGCAACAACCTGCAAAGAAGAAGGTACATTGTCTGTGTAGCAGATGCTCTTTTATCAAAAAGGAGTTGGTGTTCAGGAAGTAGTCAATCTGAACCAATTTCTTATTAACACATTTATTTTGGGCGGAACTCAAACAATCATTTTAGGACATTTCTGCTCATTTCAGTGAACACACTCCTGCTGGATTGTTCTTCTCTCCAGGTTAATGGAGCTCACAAATTCACTCTTCACACCATGAATTTGTACAGAGGCGACGGAGACATCAGACTGTTGTGGAATATTAAAAATTGAACATAATTTGTGCTTTTCAGACTCACCATATCATGACAGGATTCTACATCTTTCCCAATCCCATGACTGATGAGCGGTGGCTGGGATGAGCAGTTAATCAGTGACACAAACTCGTTCTTATTGTTTTTGGGGAAATCTTTGTATTCCACCTGTAATAAGATATAATATTTTAGTCTCTTCAAATCAAATGCATGAATATCAGTGGCTTTACTGAGTTTAAAGATGTTGTTTACCTGCAGGGCCTGCACAGATGCAAGATAGCCGAGCTGTTCTGAAGGCCTGGTGAGAGGTCCGTGGGGCAGTTGGTTCAGGTTATTTTTGTTCTTTAGGATAGTCTCAGCAGTCAGAGATGCCCCTGCATAAAGCAGCTCATTGGCAATCATGGCAGTGATTGTGGCTTTGCCTGGGTTGGGCAAAGGTCGATTGACCTGGGATCCTTGGCAGGCCCCGACTGCTTGAGCCACCTCAGGTACCATGGGAAGGATACCTGCAGGCAGCTGCTGGTGGCTCAGGTAAGGCAGCCGGTAGTCCTCCTCCTTAGAAACTTCAAAAGAAAAATAATAATAGAATTCAACAAAATAAAGCCGAAACTCTGAAAGAGATCTCCTTCCAAAGAAAATAAAACTCACTCAGTGCCATGTCCTCTACGGAGCCAGGTTCAAAGAAGGTCACTTTACGCCCATCACCAGGTTTTTTCACTGGGGTCTAAATATTTCAAAACACTGTAAGTACATGAAGGTTTACCATGTGTATAAGACTTGCTTATCAAAGGTCTGGCTGTACCTTCTCGTCAGTTTTTAGTGCCGGTTTTGGGGGCTGAGGCTGAGGCACTTTGTATCCCAAGAGGTCCAGCATTTTCTCGGCTGCGTTCCTCTTTGCCACCTTCTTGCTCGGTCCCAGTCCCTCGGCAGACTGGCCACACACGGTCACCTGTGCCACAGAACACAGCATACACAGCTCAAAAGCTGAATGGGAGACAAATGTACAGGCAAAAGAAAACAGAGCCGTAAGTCGTACTACAGAGACATTTACTACAGACTCACCTGCATGACAAACTCTCTGCGCCGTGGTAGACCTCTCTCGGTCACCATGCTGTACTCCGGCTCCTTCTCCTTCTTGGCCTGCTGGATCTGGGCCAGGCGGCTGATGGGATTCATGCCCTGACCATACTCTGGGCTGGTCTGCAGCTGTTGGTGTGACAAGTTAATTAAGCATCTTTAGGTTTGTATTGATTATCCTCATGCCAACCCATTAGAATCATTACCTTGATAATGGATTTGGTTTTCTTTTTGATGCGTGGCAACGTCTTTTCTACGCTAGGTATGTGGGGTAGCCTCTTCAACGCCATCAGCACTGCTGCTGCCGCCAGCTTCTTGGCAATCTTTTTACTCTTTCCCTCGCCGTCGCCAGTGAACTCCCCGACTGTAACACACACTAAGAAACTCTTCATGTGTGGAGGGCCCTCTTCCTTTAAAACCTTGAAACACAGGGTTTTCAAATTACTCTCAGAATAGGGTGCAGGAAAGCACTGATCTTCTAAAACTGAACTGAAAAAGAAACGAGGGAAGTCATGCATTTTGTATATATACAGTCTGGACAATTAACCAATTCTTAATTTTTGTTCTTCAAGAATAAAAATATACAACTCCCAATTCTCAGCTTTAATTTGAGCAGGTTTACATCAATATAGGATAACACGCAATTTGCACAAATTGCAGATGTCTTAGTTGACTTCTTGTTTCTTGGGCACATGTGTTGTTTCAGTATTGCTTCATACACAAAAAGTTCACACTGAAGAACAAAAACTGTAACTGTCCAAAACATCACAGCTCAAACTGTATTGCTAATTTGATCAAAGTTTATCAAAAGAAATGTGGGAATCACCTCAAAGTTGACAGGTAAGTTGCGTTTAAGTGCTATTTCAAAAACTTGACTGATTTCTGATTTGTTGAGGTTCTCCTCCTCCGGCTCTCCATTCATCTGTCAACAGCAGAATGTATATTAAAGAGAGACAAGCAATAAGTCTGAATAGAATTGCACAGAGGGTTTCTCACACTATCTTATGCAGAGTGTGCTTGTGCTTCTTTTCTCACCACTGGCAACTGTTGCAATATTGGCTCCTTCTGCAGCACTTTCATGGCCTTGGCAGCAGCGTCGTGTTTGGCTAACTGCCGCGTGCGTCCCTTTCCAACAAACTGCTGACCTCCAATGGAAAGCTCCATGTGATATAACATCGGTCCCACTGGAGGAAATGGGTAATAGTACCTGGACATACACGAGAATCAATTTTTTCCATCTCAAAGAGACTCAATGACGTTCACATAGTCAAATGCCCTCATCCTATTTCCAAGTAAAGGAAACTCACTGTTGCATAGAGCGTTGGTACGGCCCTGGAGCTCGGACGTTGTAGTTGAAGTTTGGTGGTCTCATCCCCGGGTATGGGTCGATGGGTTTATACATAGGCTTTTTACCAAGCTTCATACATAGTGCGTTCAACTCCATAGTGTGTGTCATGCCATCTACTACAAGCCCAACACACCAAAGATAAAGAATACAAATGAGTAAGCCCTTTCTGCAAAGCATAACAGTGAGAAAAATAGAGACTGTGACAGATACAGTGGGAACCGCCCACCTGGGTTCTTGCCTGTGTTGCGGGGTGTCCTCATGGTGGGCTTGGGAAGCGTTGTCTCAGCGAGGGCAGAAGCGGCAGCGGAATGCTGGGCTTTCTTGATGCTGGTCCCCTCCGCTTCCCAGTGCTGATCTCCCAGTGTGAGTCTCACTGAGAAAATCTGACCAAAGCAGAGACAGAGGAAAATCAATTCTGACTCACTGACATGAACCTACTGCAAATGAACAGCACAGATGAAATCACATTATAGGCTAGTTTGTTAATGTTACTCTCAACATACCTTGGAGTGAGCAGGTCCTTGCTCACAAAGCAGCTTATACTCAGGTTGGATCTTGTTGAAACGGGCTAACTCATTCACCAAACACATGGGGGTCTTCTCTTTAGGGTTTGCCATGTTAGATACTATAACAACATAAAAAGATCCCAAATTTTCACATCTAAGCAAATGGATATGATTGTCAACACAAGCATGAATGGTTGAATCTTGTCCTAAAGTCTGTGAACAAATACACAAACAGTCTTGAGAGATATTATGAACGTTTGACATTTAGCATAACATTTTAAATATTTAACTTAAATTCAACATAATGTCTAGAAGATGCAGATATCACTTCACTGACAGAATGTCAGATGTGAAGAAAGAATCTAACACATACGTACTTTGAACTATTTGGAAAATTTAAAAAATGTGGTATTTACCTCAAATATTAGAGCCTGAACAAGAGGTGACACTTTACAGCTCATCCAAACTATAGATGTCATGTAAAAAGGAGAAACACAAATTCTAAACAAACAAACCTGTGGTATTGTAGGGGGTGGCAGAGCCTGCAGGGAGGGCGGAGCTCCTAATGGGCTGGCTCGCGCTCTCTGAGGGTAAGGTGCCTGAGGCACAGGGGATGCTGTAACCGGGCTGTGGCTGCCCCAGCTGCAGTGGGGCAGGTGCAGCCGGCATGGGGCTAGATGGACACTGAAACTGGAGCTGAGACATCCTTGTTAGTGTAGCTTAGTTGGCTGAAGTCAAGATTAGAATTGACCAGTTCAGCAATGGTGAATGCCAAAGTGGGAGGAACTGTTGATTGAGGAGGTTTGAATGCAAGCTCTGCCTGGAAAAAGAAAATGCACAGGAAAAGCATAAATGATAGACCTTGGAAAGGGTTACCAACCACCTGAGACTAAGAAAACCCCTCTACTTGATGTGAACGGTTTAGTTTCCAATTCACTCAGCTGGAATGTATTTGGATAGTGGGATAAATGTATGCAGAGATGAGGAGAACAAGCAAAGATCTACCCAGAAAGGCCTCAGCTCCCTGGATCAGGTTTGACACCAGCACCCTCTGGCTGTGAGGCAACAATGATCCTACTGAGCTTTAACAACATCAACGTTTAACCTTAGAGCTGGAAGATTCACATGCAAATTCAGGTCAACATGATGAGCATCATCAAACTTTGCAAATGTTTATTTGCTTGGTGTTGAAATCATGAGGGTCTCATATAATATAATACACACCTATAGATAGAAGGAAGGGATCTGTTCATGATCCCAACAGTCATGTCAACATTTAAAAGCTAACTTTGTTAGTCACACCCAACAAGAACAAGGCCACTCACGATGATCATGAACAATACTGGATGTGCTGTGTGGAGCTACACTGACGTTAGCAGGTGAAACAGTGAGATAACCCCCCACTGCTAGCTTGGTCTGCATGTTCTTATCTCTCACTTCTTGCTCTGGTTGTCAGTGAGGATGCTGCTGATCCAGGAACCTATGCATGATTTCATTCTCATTTAAGGTGCAGGTCTGCCAGGTCTCGACCCCAGCCTGGCCGTTGAGGGCCCTGGGAGCCTCTGATAGCTGTCATTCAACAAATACAACTCATATGCACTGATTTCAAAACGTGCATTTTGAAGCTCAATGTTAGCTACACGAACTAGCTACGTTGTTAAAATGTTTGCTTTGAAGTTGGCTAGCTTCATAAAGGGATGAACCGGCATGTTAGCTAGCTAGCTGCTGCAAATGTGAAGCGTTGACCGCTGCAAATATGAACAAAACTTTCTCCTCGTTTAATTTATTGTGATTCCACCATGTTTGTGCAAAGGCTTATAAAGCAGACACCGCTCCCATTGAACTACAGTGGCTGTTTCTTCATGATATGAGTCCACCGGGTGCTTGGACGAGCTTCTCCCTGAGGAAGACGTTAGCTAACCGGTTTGCTAGCTACAGAGGAAGGGATGGATGACAATGATGGAACAACCTCTGTAAAAGAAAAAACAAAGCCTGACATTTAAGACACTGCAGCAAAGCTGTCTCCAGGAAGCGGGACTGTCAAGCCATCAACTCTATGACCTGACACTAGTTCATTCACTGAATCAAGTCCACGTATCATTAAATCCCATGAGTGTGGAAACAGCCGGTGAAACTAGCTAGCTAGCTAACCCCGACCAGTCAGAGCACAAAGTGAAGCTCACCTCGTCGCTCCTTTACTTCAGTGTTTTAGTTTCTCCATGGGGCACGTTGGTTTACTAACGTGTGCCTTCGTTAGAGGCTGTTTCGAGGCTCAGTCTGTGTTGGGTTTGTATCAAAATGCGGGCGGTGAGGAGATGGACATTGGGAAGACACGGCAAACACTAAAGAGAATGGCCCCGTCTCGGTTCTGTCTGCAGGAAGTGACATCCGCAGACAGGAAGTGATTTCATAATAAAGCAGGTTGACTACACGTGAAGAGGTGCTTCAATGTCCTGATTGTCTGAAGACAGACTGAGCAGTACAAGCAAAGTCAAGGAACAGTTCCCCAACAAATGTAAATTCACTCAGTATCTACTCACCACTATGCCGATGGAGAGGGAGCTGGGTAAAGCAAACACTTCTGGAGTTTCAGGGGAAAACAGCTTTGCAGCCAAATCCAATACAAGCAAAGTACCTGGTGACTGATTCTTCAAATGTAAAAACAACAACAGATAAAAATACCTCCATGCTGCTCCAAGTTACCCCTGAAACTCCAAAAGTGTTTTCTGGACTCAAACATGTCACCTCCATCGGCACAGTGGTGAGTAGTAGTACATTTTTCAGTGAACTATCCCTTTAAAGCTACACACTAAGTAGAACACAACCCTCTGCCAGGCCCAACAGTCCCCTTAAATTAAATCAAGCTGCAGAACATTTCACACACTCAGAAATTAGTTTCCTAAACATCCTTTTTTTCTTCAATGTCCATGAATTATTCCTGTCTCATCTCCCAATGTAAAGGACAGAAATTAAAATCCTGGATCCACAACAAACTGAATGGATTCTTTACTGACCAACGGCAGTCTTCCACCAAGTTTTGTGGAAAACTGTGTCTGCTTACAAACCAAAAAATGGACAGGACGTAACAAACATCATCAACAGGGTATTCAGATTTTTATTTTAAGTATCAGTGAGCCAGAAAACACTGGTTTTACAACACAATTCATCTAAATGGTGTAAAAAAAAAAACACACACACACACAAATCACTATCAAGCTCATTTTGTTAACTAATAAATATAAAACTGATCATGATTCACTATAAAATATTGCTTCTGTGGTCTATAATGCTTTCTAAACTCTGCTGTAGCTTGAGGATAAGAGCAGTGGGAGAGCTGGTTATAGTGGTTTGAGTTTCCTACGGATTACAGGTTGTATGCCTGACAGATGTTCAGAGAGTCTCTCAGCATCAAGTCACGCAGGCGCCACAGCGCATCCGCCATGGTGGTGTGGGCTCCCTTGCTCTTCAACCAGTGGGCTGGCAGCCTGCTCTCCTGCTCTTTGGTCAGGTGAGCATCTCGCCTATGAGCTGTTGTGAACGCAAAAGGTACTGGATTAAAATACACAAATAAACTGTAGGTTTTTGAAATAGCTGTTTAAAGGGTAAAACAATTATGCCTATAAAGAAACAAAGCTGAACAGTCTCTGATCACGGTATCAAATAGTGGATTTAAAGCAAGGGTTAGGTCTAGAGAATTGAGTGGTCCTGTGATCCAGGGCCCTGTTGCTTATTGGAGAAACATTCTGCGTTGACAGCCTACTCTTAATTTAGACAAGTCAAACAAATTTTTATTTAAATGCAGAGAAAAATATTCCAAGAAACCCAAAATATCAAGAAGCACCACTTTACTACCTGATTAACATAATTGTGAACTTTCATGTAAAAAGTCCAAATGATTTTAAAATCCGCTCCAAAAATGAAAAGATTACAGACAAACGGATAGACAGACCCATCCATCACTATACCTCCCTGCATTAGGTTGGGAATAATATTGAAATACTTTTCTGACGTATATTTATAAATCTACATACCCATTTCTATCACTTATTGTTCTTCATTTGTGAACAATAATCACATTACCTGTAACAGGAAACATTAAACATCAACATACACGTCTTGACTGAAAGAAAAAACAGCTAAGTATGAATTTAACATTTTAAAAAGAAATCCATTCAAATCTTTATGCAGAAGCATAATCTTTATGTGGAATCTTTATTTATGCAGAAAACCATCAATATAAAACAGACACTAATGTGACCACGATTCAAATCAAGTTTCTGTTCTGAGGATATTCTGTACACACACATACAGAGACAGAAAAACACCCCTCACCCAGGAGGCCGTGAGTAAAAACAAAAGACCACTCAAGGGACCCCACCTTTCAGTGTTTGGTCCCACTTGCTGACAGTGGCAGAGTCTGAATTCAGGCCCTCGATGTACTTCAGGTAGGCCTCTGAGTGGAGCACCCTCTGTGTCTTTGGTGGTGGAGCCACAAACATGGGGGTGGTGGGCTGCAGGTGTGAGGGCTGGCCTAACTGGCCCTGTCCTGGATATGGAGGAGGAGCGAGTTGTCCTGGGCTGAACATCCCAGGCTAAAATCAAGCAATGACAATATACTTATTAGGATGTGGACAACAAGTGCAACATTGAAGTATGTGATAATTATATGCTAAATTATGGAGGGAACAAAATTATCATCAAGTATTTGAATTCAACAATATGGTCTAGTGTTTTCGGGACTGGGCCTCACCTGTTGCATAAAGGTTCCTGATGCCGGACTTCCTGCCATGCCATTCATACCAGCTCCCATCATACCTGTTTGATGACAATATTTATTCTCTCTGCATTCAGCACCTGGAGAAAACTCAGACTGGTTTTTCTTTAGATCTACAATGATTATTTGTACAGTAGAAATGTTTCTGAATATAATCAAATACCGGTTGAATGTTAGTTTGAATATCAGTTGAATGTTAGTTATTTGGTCTCAGTTTTAACATGCATTACACTGTATCTGTGAATGTGTGTATGGATCCTGTATACTATTGTTGTGGGATGTGTGCACACTTTGAGAGAGGATGTTGTAGACCAGAGAGCTTTGCCTCTGCTCGCTCAGTAAATCTGGCAGTGCAGCCTCTGCACCAGGTAAACCCCTCCAGCAGGAGAGACACGACTGGATGTGACCGACTGAGCAGGTGTGGCTAGGACAGTGGCCCTTACCCTGATGAGGCATGCCAGGGTACCCAGGCATACCTTGCTGGAGATGGTGAAGAGGCAGGTGGGACCCCCCTGCAGAGTGAGGTGACATTGTTGCCACACTCAACAAGCCCTCATGGGGGCCCTGCATGGGCATATAAGGTGGGCCGTAAGCTCCCATCATGCCTTGGGGAAGAGGGCGGAGGAGAGGACAACAACATATCCATGCATAAGTGACATGCAGCTGACTCTAATATAACATGCACTACTACTGCACACTGTGGCCCCTTTCACACATGCACCGCGAGCCATTCATGCTCACTTATTTTACTTTGTTGGTCTCAGAATGTGTAACTACAGCTCTAGGGAGAGCAGAAGGAGCAATACCACAGTGTAAAACTAATCACTGTAAATTTAATATTTGATATGATTCAGTCATTTAGGTATACTGAAAATTTAGAGTGAGCCCCTTTGTACAGCTTTACTCTATCCATCTCTCTTCTGTTGTTCCTGCTGTGCTGCCTTTGAAAATGTTTTCAGTATGATAAAACCACCAGATTGAACACATCCAGTGATGTTAGAGGTTCAGTGTGTGAAAGGGGCAGACAAATACAAATGGGTCTGAGAAATGTTAGCGGATAAAATGAGCATGAAAGTTAGGTTTTTTTGTATTTAAGAGATTCTTGGTTAAAATAACAATCATGCAGTCAATGTCATGCAGTCTCACATATGAAGCTGGTGATAATAGAACTATGAAACATAAAACAATATGAAACAGCAGCAAGAGAAGAGAAAATGTTGCTTTGTGAATGTAGTTATTAGATAAATATTACGTTTAAAATGGTTAGAAAATTAGAGGATTAAATAGTCACGCCTTATTCCTCTGCTGCCTTGTTGCCAAACACTCGTGCTGTCTCTGAGAGGGGTTACCTGACACAGGTGTCATGGTCTGGTTTATCATTCCCATAGTGCTAGGCGAAGGCACCACCCCCATCAGTGCCCCTACTGGGGTACCTGCTCTAGGGGATGCTTGCTTCTGGGCCGGCCTCTCGCGCTCTTGTTGCTCCACTATTTTGGCCGCACGTTCTGCAAAATAAAAAAAAAATAAAGATTTAAAGTTTTGACTTCTGCTCACATTAAAAGGTCTTTCACAACAAATAAAGCTCTTGCTCTCACCTTCATACTCGGCTTTCTTGGTAGCTTCGAGGTTCCTCCACTCGGTGCCAACGAGTCGACTCAGCTCCCCAAAGGAAAAGTCTGGGTGTCGCGCTTTGATGACAGCTCGCATCTCACTGCTGAACAGGATATAGCCACTCATGTTGATCTTTCTCTTGGCCCCTTCCTTTTTTGATAAGCCCTTCACTTTGGGAGTGGACTTCATGGAAAAACAAACAAGTTAAAAAATCAAACTGGTTGTGTGAGAGTGTTTGTGCTAATATTAGGAGCAGAGGGTTTAAGCCTTGGATATAAGATTCAGGCTTTTAGAGGTGTCAAGGTACCTGAGAAGGTGTATATGGCAGCGTGTCCATATCGCTTGCATGTGGCATTGGTATCTGAGGCATAGAAGGTGTTACTGGAGCCTCCTCATCGTCCATATCTTCCATATCATCATCTCCGTCCTCTATGTCGGCCAGTTTAACCTCAAGCTCATCTATCTTCTTATCCAAAAAGGGTGAAGCTTCCTTCTGGGGCACCACCAGTTTTCTGTGCAAGACCGAAAAGACACCCAGACTTTGAGAAAATTTGAAAACATTGAACAAACTAAGCGGTCTGGTTCCCTGACTAACCTGAAATAGAAGATCTCCTCCTCCACCACCTTGGCGGAGTATGAGAAGCGTTTCAGACCCTTGAACTTTTTCATCTGCTTCTCAGTCTCAATGTAGCGGCTCTCGCACAGCAGGACGTCGTCCTCCGAGACCTCGGTGGATCTGCATGACAGGAAGTCCTTGAACGAGGAAACCATACATTTACCTGGAGAGCAGAGAGGAAGGACAGAACATGTTTGTTAATGAAACTGATGATGGACGCCAACATTCAAATTAATTTTAGGAAGTTATCAAGGCAGTACCTATGACACAGGTCATGGGCAAAGTCTCTTCCAGGTGGCTCAGAAAAACTTCTCTCTTGTAGAACATCTTTGTGGGCTCATGCTCGGTTTCCTCAGGATGAATGAAGATTGGTCCAAAGAAGTAAGTAGTTCCATTCT